AGTTTTAAACGCCACAATGAGAATTTCTCTAATGAGCGGCGAGAGGCAGATTTGCATGAACCTACATGCACTTGTATGCCATTAGTATCTAATCTTGCCTCATTGAAATGCATTTTCTTATTCTCTCAAGCGGCAGACAGAAATGAGATGGTGACAATTCCCAACATGAAAGTCAGAGCGGGTACCTGGTGACTCCAGCTCGCTGCTTGTTCCTCTGGCATCCAACTTTGTCAGTATTCTCCAACATCCAGGGCATGGGCAGTGATTGCCCACAGCCCTCATACATGGAGGTTGGTATCAGACATACGCCAGACTCTCCACACTTTGATGGCACATCTCTGACCTCCTTACAATAGTCTCCATTTCAGTGCTGCAGTGTAGGGAGCACCTTTCATTCCAATGCTGATCTCATGACATTTTGTGCATCTAACTTATTGATTCGACCTGATGCATCTCAGGGCTCGCTACTTGCTCTCTTATGCTCACTTACCTTGAACCTCCTTTGATGTTCACAGCCTCTCTAGCTTGGCTTGCCTTTGTACATTTCCCCCCCTCCTTCGGAAATGAAAGTTTCATAGTACCTCTGTGTTGCCTTGCTATTTAGAACAGATACAAAGCAAGGCCTTTGTCATGGTTATCAGCAGTGATCAGTCAAGGGAAGAACATGTTGTTGCATGGCACTGTGTTACGTCAGTGTTACACCTAGACCACATGCCAGTACAGTGCATGGCAAACACACTGCACGTGCTTCAACTAAATTACCACATCGAAAGGTCTAAGGGAAGTATTCCTTGGTCAAGTCAGGGGAGACAGCCATCAGTCAGAGATTCCCAGCAGATTATGTCATGGGTAATGTCTGACATCAGTTCAGGGCTTGGACACAATCAGTTAGCTGCTTGGTGTGGACAGGAGCAGTGTTTCCAAATCACTGCAGTCTGGGGAGTGGGTCATGGTCAGTTCTGCAGATCCAGAGCAAACAGTCTAGCGATATATGGTATGTTATTCGGGGAACTATACAGAGATCAGTCAAACACCTAGTCACCCATCCAGGAGGGCTATCTGACCAAGTCAGTCAAGGAAATGAGCCATGGTCCATCCTGAAAGTTAACAGGGTTTGGTTATCAGAGCCCACTGCTATTGTAGGGAGGTTGGGGAAGTCAGTTCTGTGGATTGCAGACAATATGCTGGGGTACAGAAGGCACCATCATTGTGAAGGGGGGAGCGTGTCATATAAAGTGAGAGACAACATTGGATGACACCGACAATCACATCACCCTGACTTAGACAAGGGAACTGTGCAACATGATGGCTGAGCTGAAGGTCTGGGGCTCAGGGGATAATGGGTGGGAGATGAAGTTGTAATTCAAAATGATGTATGGGAATGCGTGGAAGCGCAGTACTGCTAGGCTCGACAAGGAGTGCCAGAAAGTAAAGCACTTAACCAATTCTGATAAAATCCAACCCAGAGTTTCAGGTCGATGATCTTTCATTCAAATTGAATTCGGTTTTAATGAAATATACAATCAACCCCAGATTTACGTGTTTAAAAGATTACATTTCTCCCTTCCATTTCAATGTTTCCTTTCTCTACATCATAAGTTTCCTCCAAATAATATTCTGTGCGCCAAGACAGACATATAGTCTGTTCCAAACTTTTATCAGCTCTGCTTTTGGACAAAATTTCAGCAAAACCAGTTGATACAAAATTATTTACTACTTAAAAAATTTGTTGAGGTGAGTGATTCTCAAATCATCCAGTTTGCACTTTTATGAAGCAAAGATTAATGTTGCAGCTTGTAGAAAACTGTATTTAAATTTCATGCATTAATTATGAGTTTTTTAAAAACTTTCATGAATTGTGAGATCCATGAATTAATTACAAATGTTACTAATAACAAAGTGGTCTGTTCTCACTTTAGAGTAGCATCTGGTTGACTGTTGCAACTTTCCCGTTTATTTTTAGCTAAAATTAGAAACAAACAGCCTGAGAAGTTTGGAGGAGAATCTAGACTCACCAATCTGTAACATCAAAGCATGTTTCCAAACATCATTCTTTGGACCATAAGTGTTTGTACATATAGAAGTGTTATACGTGTGGGAGGGCGATGAAGGCTGTACCTGATCTTTCGGTTTAACTGTTATCCTTTTGTTTGTGTATTTCTTCTTTCGGATTACCTGCCAGAATATCGCCAGATATTGTTTAATTACAAATAGATTGAGATGAAAAACATTTCCACAGTGTATCCCCACAGCCTCCATTTATTTAGCTTTGCATGCAAACCCATACTTTAATACCGCTATTCTTAGGCTCTGCATGGGATTTACTCTGGCTGTGATATGGTTGTAGTATGCCGTGTGATATTACCATGTCCTGAAAATCATAGCAAAATCTCATGTAGCTAACTGCAATTATCTATGCTTAATTTGGACTCATTGCAAATTTCTTACATAAGACCAAAGACCATAAAATATAGGAGGAAAATGAGGCCATTCAGCCCATCAAGTCTGCTCTACCATTCGAACATAGCTGATATGTTTCCAACCTCATTCTCCTGTCTTCTCCTCATAACCCTTCATCTTCTTGCTAATCAAGAACCTATCTATTTCTGTCTTAAACACACTCAATGACTTGGCCTTCACAACCTTCCGAGTTCCACAGATTTACCACACACTGGCTAAAAAAATTCCTCCTCATCTCAGTTCTAAAGGATCACCCTTTCATTCTGAGCCTTTGCCCTCGCATCCTTGTCTCTTCGACTAGTGGAAACATCTTCTCCATGGTCCACTCTATCCAGGCCTGTCAGTATTCTGTAAGTTTCAATCAGATCCCCCCTCATCCTTCTAAACTTCATTGAGTACAGACCCAAAGTCCTCAACTGCTCCTCATGACAAGCCCTTCATCTCCAGGATCATTCTTGTAAACCACCAGTGCTGTCATTGCATTTGCCTTCTTAACTGCCAACTGAACCTACACATCAACCTTAAAAGAATCCTGAACTCAGACTACTAAAGTCCCTTAATGCTTCAGATTTCCAAAACCTTTCCCCATTTAGAAAATAGTATATGTCTCTATACTTCCTACGAAAGTGCTTAAGCACACTTTCCCACATTGTATTCCATCTGCCATTGCCTGGCCTATTCTCCTGGACTGCCCAAGCCCTTCTGCAGCCTCCTTGCTTCCTCAACAGTACCTGTACCTCCACTTATCTTTGTATCATATGCAAACTTAGTAACAATGCCCTCAGATCCTTCATCCAGATTGTTAACGTACATTGTGAATATTGTGGTCCTAATACTGACCCCTGTGGAAGTTCACTAATGATAGATCCACATCTGCCCTCCTTGACTTAAATTCTTGTTGTGCTTCATAAATATCCTGTGAAATGCAACAATGTGAATTTATATACTCTGGCTATCTTGTTAAGGCTAATATATCATTACAAGCCAGAAATGTTTTGTTATTAATCATACCTATAGTTCAGTGGATAAATGATGGCTAAAGGTTTTACAAGATGACGATTTGAGATCTCAACAATCTACACAGGGGCCGTACGTATCTAGGTGCTAACGAGTATTGAGCAGGTTCTAAAAGATTTGTCCAAATCTTAGCCCTGATTTTCTTTTTGGTACTTTGCCCACGTGAGGGACTGTATAAACCATTCTTTAAGAAAAGCATGGATTAATTAAGAATGATCAGTATGACACTGTGAAGGGAAGGTTACGTCTGACTAGCTTAATTGAATATTTTGACACCTTCAATGATACTTCTTCACATTTTTCCCAAGTCCCCTTGTTTTTGCACCACTTTAGAATTCTACATTTTATGTTGTTTTTCCTTATCTTCTTTAATAAACGTAACCCGAAACAAATCTTTGCATTAAATTTGCGCCTGCCGCTGTTTGCCAATTCCGTGAGCTGGTCTATGCCCTTTTGAACTCCATCACTTTTCTTTCTCATAGTTTACAACCTTCCAAGTCTTGTGTGATCTGAAAATTTTCAAATTGTGGCCTGCACATTCAAGTCTCAGCCATAATATAGGTCAGGAAAAACAATGACCCCCTGGGAACATCACTCTCTAACCTCCTTCAACCCCAAAATGCCATCGTACCTCTGTCTCTTTCACTCTGAGATTTGGCTTTGCTGACAAGTCTGTTGCACTGCAGCTAGGGATCTGTGTTCCCTTTTAATCAGTCATTATGAACAAGATGTGATCATACTAGAGAGGTGCCGAGATATGTGAGGATGTTGCCAGAAATTGAGAAAGTTTGCATTGAGAAAAGCTTCGATAGGCTAGAATTTTTTTTTTGGAACAAAGAAGACAGGAATGATTCAATTGAATTATATAAAATTATAATGGGTCTTGATAGACTAGGGAGGAAGACTAATTTCCCTTTGCAGAGGTCAATTACCAGGAGGCATAGGTTTAAATTAATTGGTAGAAAGGTTAGAGAGAAGTTGAGCAGAACATTTTTTCACCCAGAAGATTGTGGCGTCTGGAACTCTGTCGGAAAGACTAGTAGAAACTGAAACCCTCATTGTATTTAAAAAGAAGAATTGTAATATTGCAACCTGCAAAGCTGCTGACTAAGGGCTGGAAACTGGGCTAGCTCCTTGTTAGCTAGCACAGGTACAACGGGCAGAATGGTTTTAGATTGTACTACAAATAGTCATAGAAAATGCTCAGCCAGTAAACTCAAAAACCCACCCTGAAGAATCTGCATTTAAAATCATAAGATATTTTTTGTTTACAAGGCATTTTGTGTTCGAACCTCACGACTGCTTTACCTTGTTCTGCTGCTCTAAGTGGTTCATGGGAGATGACACAGCCCCCAAGCAGCTGTGCTAGAAACAGAATGAACAGCATCTGGATTCCAAATGCTGTGACTTCCCATTTTGCTGGAACACCGTCATTTGCTGTAACCAATGTCTTACACAGAAGCAAATTTCAATATTGAGGTGTGTGTGTAATGAGCAATTCTAACAGTTCTTCTTTTCAACAGCAGTTGCTGCTACATCGCAGGATTCTGAATTGGGATGGATCAGTGAACGCTCTGAATCTCTACACGTCACCATCATTACCCAACATTACTCTGGGTCTCCCAGCTCCAACTGCCTCATCTGCCTCCTCCCACATCAAAGTATGTAATAATTATAGGCCTAAAGTTACTTAATCTCTTTAATCTGTCAGATTGGTCGAAGCACATAACAACCCTGTGAGGCATGCAGGGTTGTGGTCAGCCATTATAATAGTGTTGCCATGCTTAAAACAAAAATTACATCTCTGCTATGAAACCACTAAGTAATGGGATCTATGCCATTGGTTTCCCATGGATCTAAGATCTCAATTTCAGTCAGAGAATTGCTGAGCAAAGACCAGGTACTTGCCCATAGGATGTGAGTGAGAATAATTCCTGGGTGGTGTCTCCGTGACTGATTCAAAGAGAATCACTGGGGGCCTGGAGATGGTCTACCCACTCACTTTTTATGATCTACATCTTGTATGAAAGAAAGAATCCAGGGAAGGGTTTTTTTTTTAAAAAAAGCACAATATCTCTAGGAAGTTTAGACTTGGTGAGACTTCTGAGACAAATAAAGAATTATTCAAATAATAGAGGTGATTTTCCTCTTCAAAGCATTTGCAAGTTGCTCAGTTCCCAGGCATTGCAGTGAGGAAATATGGCTACAGAGCGTCCTTGTTACACCTTCACCCACAGCCCAATCCTGAGATTTATAGTTACTCATTGGGTGTCTTCCTGAATGTACTGAGTGTCATGATGGTAATGAGATGGCAGAGGATATTTTAGCCTCTCACCTCTACAGCTCTGACAGATGATTGCAAGCTACATCTGGACCTCCAGGACCAGATGAATGTAGTGGAAGGGGAAGCCTGAAGATTGAAAGCGAGCAACCCAGAAAGATCTTGCAGTATTTTGCTTATTCTGTCACAGGGTGACAGTTCTGATACCAGTTGCCAAGTGCTTGTAGTTTCACTATTGCTTTTTACCTGCTTACTGACACTATAACATACAGGGCATGAATGTGCATTGGAATTATGTGCAACCATCTAAGTAGCCCAACACAGCCCAAATTTAAAGTTTCCTACCTCAGGCAGGTGTAGTGTACACCAGATACCTTGCAGCTGTCAGATGCCTTGTAAGGAGGTAGTCAGTGAACATCCACTGCAGTTTCAATTCCTCTATCTTTAAACTATATGATTTAATTCCTTAATCTAGTCAGAAGTCTATCCTCCAGGTACAATCCTCTCACATCAAAGGGTGTATGCTGAGAATAAAAACAGAAAATGCTGGAAACATTTTGCAGGTCAAGCAGCATCTGTGGAAAGAAACTGAGTTAACGTCTCAGGTTAATGATCCCTCACTCGAATTAGAGAATGATAGAAATGTAGCAGTTTTTGAAATGGAGAACAGGAATGAAGAAAAGAGAAGGTCTGTGTACACATGGCACATGGCAGTCACCTGAATACAAAACAAAGTAAAGAAAGAAACAAGTAAATGTTAAACAAACAAGATAAAATGAAATGTAATGGAGAGATAGTAGGAACTGCAGATGCTGGAGAATCTGAGATAACAAGGCGTAGAGCTGGATAAACACAGCAGGCCAAGCAGCATCAGAGGAGCAGGAAGGCTGATGTTTCGGGCCCCAAAACGTCAGTTTTCCTGCTCCTCTGATGCTGCTTGGCCTGCTGTGTTCATCCAGCTCTACACCTTGTTATATCTGAAATGTAATGGAGACAGGTTATGATCTAAAATTTAAAACTGAATATAGCGTCATGAAGGCCGTAAATGCTGAGGCAAGGCTGAGATGCTACTCCTTGAGCTTGTGTTGAACTTCACTGGGATACTGGAGCAGGTTGTGGACAGAAAGATCAGAGTGGGAGCAAGGTGGATAATTACAATAACTAGCAACAGGAAGCTCGGGGTCGTGCTTACTGACTGAATGGAAGTGTGTTGCAAAGCAGTCACCCAGTCTATAGTTCTCCACATGATGGACGAAACCACACAAAGAGCAGTCAATGCAGTACACTAAACTTAAACTGAAAAAAGTACAAGTAAATCCTTCTTTCACTGAGAAGAAGTATCTTGGGACTTGGTGGGTGAGAAAGGAGGATGTAAAAGCATAAGTTTTGCATTCTCTGTACTTGCACATATTGGTGGTGGGCGAGGGAGGGCTGCTTAGGTGACCAAGATATTGAGGAAGGAATAAAAATAAAGTGCTGGAACAAACTGAGGAGGTGTGGCAGCATTTGCAGAGAGAGAAACAGAGTAAATATTTTGAGTCTAATATGACTTCTTCAGAACTGATTTGAAATGTCAACTCTGTTTCTATCTCCACTGATGTTGCCAGAGCTGCTGGGTATCTCCAGCGTTGTCTGTTTTATTTTAAACCTTCAATATCCTCAGTGTGTTGTTTTTATATAGTGGAGGGAGTGGTTCCTTTGGAATTATGAAAAGGTATAGCAGGGGAAGATATGTTTGTTGCTACAAGTATCATGCTAGGTGTGGCAGAAAATGTGCAAGATGATCCAGTGAATACAGAGGTTGTTTCAGTAAAAGCTGAGGACTTGGGGAACCATATCATATTTCTAGAGGGAGTGGATGGGCAAGAGCAGAAGTTGAGACAGGAAAAACTGAGTTCACTGGGGCCATAACAGGCTAAAATAATAAGTCTACCAGGATAACCCTGTTTCCAGATTTTCAGAAAGGAGTTAAAAGCAGATGTGTGTGATTGAAGAGATTATGAGGTTGGGGTCTCTGAAGTCAATTTCCACAGTGAAAATAAGCTTAGTGACAGGCTTGGAAACAATGTTTTGATCTTTGTTAGTCAGGTTAAGGTCCAGAGGAAATGGAAGGGAACATCAGAGAGTTAGTTTCCAGCTTCGGCTAGCTAGAGATCAATACATCAGGCAACAACAGCAGTACGTTTGTCAGCAAGTTTGATCATGATGTTGGGATTAGACTGAAGAGAATGGGAAGCTTCAAGTTTAGACCAGGATAAGTTGCACATAGTGAAAGGAACAAAGGAATTGAGATGTCCAATCTCATGGTTCGAGAGAAGGTAAGGGGCCACAGACAGGGATTCACATTAAGAAGAATATTGGAGAAAAAGGGTTCACTAGCGGGGTGGGGGCGGCCGGGGGAGGAGTAGGTGGAGTTTATGACTAAAGAAGTAAGCATGAAGACAGAGATGAAAGAATAAGAACTCAGTGCCAAACTGAGCTTGAAGTTCATTGAGCATAAGGAGAGATACCAGGCCTTTGCTGAGGACCGATTATTTAGAGTCAGAGATAGCAAGGTGAATAACTAGACTTCTGCAACATGAAACTCTAAACCTTGAGGTCAGATCAATGCCAGCAACCATAGATCAGATATTTAAATGGCTGTGGAGGAAGCTGGAAGTGCCTACTCTTGCCCCACCAATAGAGTCTACGAGTGCTGATCTCACTCATAATGCTGTCTGCAGGCCATTTCTGATCCAGAAGGATCATTGGGTGGCAGCCATCTGTACACAAGTGTCAGCAGCCTATTAGGCCAAATAAAGAGCCCATTAAGGTTAAGCATGCCAACTGGAATGTTTTAGTTGGCATCTGGGCCTCTCACTAAGGCTGAAACATGGGCATGTAATGGAGGTAGCATCTGGTCGAGCATTCTGGGGATTGGGGTGTTCAAGTAGCATTCCGTCCACCCTGAGAATTATGCTAACTGTCGAGCCACAGTTGCAGCCTCTCGTCTCCCAGTGGAGGATTACTCCAATGCAGTGATAGCTTGAACTCTGTGGCCTAACATAAAAATAATCATTCAGAGGATGCCTCCCTTTCCCTCATTCTTGTAGATACATGAGCAACTGTAACCTGTGACAACAGGGCTGCTGATCTAAGTGCTGGAATGTCTCCTTGGGGCCTTCCAGCCGTGGGAGCATTCCAGAGATGGCCATTTAATTGACTGCCTCCTCAAAATCAGCTCTCTTCATCCTGATTCTGTATGTGTGGAACCCTGATCCACATTTCCTCGTGGGAGCAGGATTGAGAACATAAATGAACACTCAGCCAATATTTTTTCACATTAATTCAAACATACACTATGGAGGAACTTGATCTTCGATGATAATGCATAATGGGCAATAGTTAATTGCAAGTCCTCTTTGCACCCCTGGTCAGTCTTCTTTTTAAATTTCGACCCTATCTGTCTTACCTTTGAAATCATTAAATAATGATGAAGTTAAATAAAGGCACATTTGACTTTTTGTATAAATTGTTGAATATATTTATAGATTGAGTTTGTGTTTGGACCAATGGAATCCATATAATTGGACATTGGCCTTTTTCAGATAGAGGAGACTGGGTCTTTCATGGGTGAATACCTACAGAGGGAGTAAGGTCAGTGACAGCCCTGGAAACAATGGTTCAATGTTTGTTAGTGAGACCAGTTTGTATAGTCTTTCCAATCCAGCCTTGAAAGGGATTGATCCACCATCACACCATCAGAAACTTCCTGGTCTTTCCGAGCAAGATGCAAATAAAATCTGCACAAACCACGGTAGCTGGAAGAAACCATGTTGTTTCAAGTCATTGTTCAGTCAGTTCCTTTGAGAACAGTTGCCTCAGTGTGAGCACGGTTTGTGACCAATTAAAAAGCCTCACTGGCTTTGTGCCAGCTCTCAATCTTTTATGGGCGGAATTCTAAAGGGAGCCAAACAACACACCATCTTGCCTATTCTGCTTTCTTGATTGAGGTGAGGCGAATAGAATTGTAGGGAGATCTAGCAGATGTACCATCATTTTTCCAGACATATTACACGAGAAAAGGAAAACAAACCCAGTAGTGTAATTGTGGCTTAAATATTAATTTATAGATAAACATTTGTTCCAGGCCTCAACAACAAACCAAAATACTGACAGACAAGCCATTCCGGGAATGACAGCCATTACTGGACAGTTCAGAGGAGGTGCTCCCTTATCTTCTTACTTAACGCCTGCTCCTTTTGATGGAAAGGTTAACAGCACCCATCATGCCCTGCTACAGCATGTACTTCTGATGGAACAGGTTCGAAAGCAGAGTCCCCTCACAACGGGTGAGTTGTATTTGCAAGTGAAACTTTTGGATTCTAATTGAAAGTTTGGAATTTGCTGGGATTCTTTCCGTTGAAGTGAGAATTAAACGTACATAAGGACTTCTAGAAAGAGGAAACATTTTAGAAGTATTCATAATTCTGAACCAAATATACATATATTTCAAAATTTTTACCTGTAAATGACATTTTGGCCCTGTACCTAGTTTAATTAAATGTTAAGTGCATTATTTGTATCATTTTCCAGATAAAAGGTTACTGTTTGTCCCAGACCAAAGTGTGAGGTTACAGTGGGTGGAAAAGAAGTGAAATTTAAAGAGAAGAACTGTGTCAGGAGTAGTAAAACACTAAAAGGAAACTGAGGCAGGAACATAACAATTATAAAAGAGTCATTTACAATTACAGTAGACGAGTTGAAATTTTAATCACTTCAAGCCCATTAGAATGTTAAAACAAACAAAAAAATCTCTCGGAATTGAACTGTGCTGGATCTTGCTTGAATTGCAGTACTGAATGTTCTTGGAATTGCAACAATGTTGGTAAGCTTTCCCATGCTTGGATTATTTCCATTATGTATTTAAGACGCTTTGAAACTGTGTTATAAAAGAATTAAGTGTTCCCCTTTTCCCTTGTTTATCTTCTTTTCTGTTGTTAATAAGCTTTTATTTTGTTGTATTTGTTAAAACAGAGACTTCAACATTGTGTGCTTTTGCTTTAGAAAAACATCACCTCTGTTAAACAAATAAATCTATCCAACCATGTTCCTTTTGGGAATCTGAATTGTCTGGTAATAGTATCTACTAGATATTCCCTGTAACAATTTGGATCGTGAGATCATAAAAATGCCATGAGCTTTTATTTTCATCAATAACCTTTGATGTGGCACTTTATCAGATGCTTCTGAAAATTTAAGTACAGTTCATCCACCAGTTCCCTTTTATTCACAGCTGGTGTTACCTCCTCAAATACTCCAATAGATTGGTCAAGTGTGATGAATGTGATGTTGGCGAATAGTGAAATTCCATACAATTGGGATGGGAATATTGTAACTCTTCAGTCCCTGAGTGTAGTTCTGAGAGGAAGAGGAAGTGGGTTGGTTGCAAACATATAACACAGCCGGTCCAATTTTCAATCTATTTGAATTAATAGAAGCAAAATTGGATGGACTCTGTTATAGGATTGCAAGCTTTCACTGGACTTTGCTGTCTACATTGTAGCAGGTGATGTCAAGAGGAATGTTTATTTCCATTATACCTAAGGAACCATAAGCCAACAGGAGACCTGCGTATTTGGAGAATTACATAAAGAGTAAGAACTAAGGGAAAAATAAAAGTGCAGCTTAAATATTTGATTAGATTAAATCATTGTATATTATTATCTGAAACTTGGGTATAAATCCATCCATAAGCTCAGAGCGCTTATCTGATTTCTGTTTCTGTAAGATGCAGTGATCTGAAATTAAAGGAATTTATAGATTTTAGATCATTTACTAATTGTGTGCTTTTTGGCATAGAATTGTCAATTTGTTCAGATTGGTAAATGCAGGTTGTTCAGTAACGAAGTCCTTTATAAGATTAGAAAAATTAGTGGGCTGATTTTCATATGAAAGTGGTGTTCTTGCACCTTGGTGTGAAAGTCAGGATTAAGCCCATCCTCTCTTGGCTGGCTTGTTCAACCTCCATTTTACAGAAGTCGCACTGTGTGGAAAGATGTCTGCTCCCACCTGGGAGGTGTGATGTAAGACGTGTGGTTTATTATATCATGTCATTTATTTTAGCCTTTGGATTTTGAACTAGGGGCATGTGGGTTTTAGCTAATGTATATGAGGGGTTTTAATAATTAACTGGTCAGTATTTCTGGAGCCGTGATTTTTAAAGCAGTCTATGTCAGAGTGCAGCTGACTGAGAGTCCCTCTGGAGTGATAATGTGAATTTGTTTGTATTGTGAGAGTTGTATGTTTGGAGAGAGCTCCCATTGTATGGCATTAGCCTGTTTTTGGCGTAGAAGAATCGATAATTGATTTTTCTGCTCAGGAAAACTGTTTAAATTGGAAAGCTTTTAGTTTCAGTTCACAGGAAACCTGGCTGAGGTCAGATGTAAGAGCAATACCTCCTGGAGAAAGGGGTTAGTTCAGTATATTTAGGAAATATGATTACCTCAATTTAAGGGTTTTACTTTGAAAATTCCAGACCAGAGTATTTTAGTTAGAAATCTAAAGGGCTTATTTGAAGCTGAAAAACATTTAAGCTCAGTTGGGTGAATAATCAAGGAAAAGACTATGAAACTCACAAATCTGGGAATTAAAAGAAATTGTTCAGTAAAACCTACAGGCGTCAAGAGAAGGGAACCGTTTCTGGTATTTGAGTACTATAAATTGATGGTGTTGCAATAGATAGAATTGTATTTTGCTGTCTGTATTGCAATCTTTCAAATTATGCTAAACGTAAATAGCTTGGTTTGTTCTATTTTATCTTCATCTGTTTTGTATAATAAACATCTCTTTTATTGTTAAAATCAAATTGGCATTGCACGGATGTGTTTCAATAAAAGACCACCATGTTAAAAAAAAACTACCAAGCCAGATGCCGGTCTGACTGGTCCAGTCAGAACATCAGCTAGGATTTTAATAGAAGAAATATGGCATCTGAGAGCTACTGGCCAATCATACAGTCTGAGGCTCTCTTGTCCCAGAAGCAGGACCTTGAGTGGTGACCATTGTTGGGATTACTGGCAGCCCAGCCCCCAAAGGGAAGAAACTCGTAAACTTGTCAAAATTAAGTTAAGGATCCTACCAGCTTGAGTTTGCAGGTTCAGGCACGAAAGAGGTGGACAAGGCATGGAGGATTTGGGAATGTGATTTCACCTGGTGGCTTGGACATGTGGTACCTGCATCTCATGCCATAGGTAAAGAAAAGAAGAGTATTTATCAGCATTGGTAACACTCACCAAGAACAATTTCATAACCATCTCTGAATGGTGAGGAGTAATTCAGTTAAAATGTAACCTTACCTTGCCTGATGACCTAGTAGATTGTCTCAGTGCCAAAAGTGCTGTTGATACAGAGGCCTCAGTCTTAAGGTCAAGCTGCAATTTCCAAACATCACTCAACAGCTCACCTAATGAGAATAATGTAAACCTTTCACATTCACAGGTCTCCCCATAAGTGACAGGAGTAAATTTCAACCAGCATTATGAACAAAAGTTTGTACAAAAGCTTTCAAGTTTAGCTTAATTAAACATTTATGTGAGCTCTCAGCCAAGTGTGCAAAATTCACAGGCATTTGGAACCAAAAAGAAAAAGTATGATAATCAAGCAAGTTAAGACAAGGAATTTTCTTCACAACACACCTTAGTGAAGTGTAAATAACTAGTTTCCCTTTTTTTTATTCACTCATGGGATGTGGGCTTTACTGGCTAGGCCAGTATTTATTGTCCATTTCTAATTACCCAGAGAACAATTAAGAGTTAACTACATTGCTGTGGGTCTGGAGTCACACGTAGGTAAGGATGACAGATTTCCTTCCCTAAAAAGCTTTAGTGAATGAGATGGGTTTTTCCAAAAAATGAAAATAGTTTTATGGTGATCATTAGACTCTTCATTCCAGATTCTTAATGGAATTTAAATTTTCCCATCTGCCATGGTGGGATTTGACTCTAGGTTCCTAAAACATTAGCTGAGTTTCTGGATTAATAGTCTAGCAATAATATCACCTAGCCATTGCCTCCTCATAACCTATTTTCTAAATCAACCTGTTCAGAGATGTTATCACACACCTCTAGAGCAGGTGGCACTTAAACCTGGGCCTCCTGGTCTAGGTGTACGGATGCCACCACTGCACTACAAGGTGACGTTTAGTTTCCTATCAACTTCTCAAAACCTGATTGAGATCACCTTCAACTTTAACAGCCCTACTATAGAATCTCATGCATGACAAATTTTTGCAGCTCAATCTTTATAACTGAAATTGAGTTATAAAGATTGAGACAATCTTTGAGGTTGATAAAATCAATGAACTCTGCAATTTTGAAGAGAAGGCACAAGAGACATGCCTGCAACTTTATGTTCTTCTACAAATTTGAGAAGATTGCTGTTTAACTTCTGGGCTAGAGACCTTACAAAAAATGAGGACAAGTGAATCCAGTAGCTTCCTTCCCTGATTTTTGTTTTCCCTGTATCTTTTACTATTGTTCTTTCTTCCATACCCTGTCATTCACCACTGATATATGCAACTTACACTACACTAGCACAGCATGATTTATGTTTTACTCTTAAGTACCTCGTAATGAGCTGGATTTAGCCAGCAGAGCTTTCTATTCAGTTTCTCTGAAGAATTTCCCAAGAATCAATCACAATAGTCGGTATTACAGAAGAAAATAGGACCTCTGGACTTTGCATCATTCACTTGACCTCTAAAAAGGACCAGCACAGTACATCCAACATTGACAATTTAGGATAATCTAGAGAAGGTGATGGCCTGGGGTAATGTTGCTAGATCACTAATCTGGAGACCCAGGCAATATTCTGAGATAGAATTTAAAACCCAACATGGCATATCTGGAATTAGAAGTCGAATGATGACCAATAAACCATTGTAGATTGTCATACAAATCCATGTGATCTACTATTGGAAGAAAACTGCCTTAAAACTGGAAAGATCACCCGACATCAATTCGGGCATCGTATAGGGCAATGTCACAAACACAACCTTGTCAACCCTACAAAGTCATATTTAGTAACATCTGGGGTCTAGTGAGCACTGATGCACAAACTAGTCAAGCAACAGCCTGATATGGTCATACACAGAGAATTATATCTGAAGCGTTGGGTCTGTCTTGTCCCACTGGCAGGCAGAGGTATATAGTTGGGAAGCAGCAGCTCAACGTAAAGGAGTCCTTAACATGACTCCTGACTCTATGAAGTCTCATGGCATCAAGTTAGATGTAAGGAAGAAACCTCACGTAGCCCCTTGGCTCCCCTGCCCCAGTTGGTTAATCAATACTCA